TTTAAGCTTATGATGACGTGTATTTGATTTTCATTTCTTTTCTTTCATCATAGATTAGTTAGGTATTATCCAGGCCCAGGTCCCCATCCTTGATGATGGCTTCCATAAGCTAAGGTTGCCGGGGTGAACTAAGTTGGGATTTTGCAGTGGCGAGGGTCACAAGTATCGGTGGAGATCCAGCTAACGAGCTCACAAAAAATTATATAGATTCATCAAACACTGAAGGAGGTTAGTGTGTACGTGAGCAGCAACGGCGGCTGTTGTGGTCTTGTTGGAGCCTTCCTTGCCATGGAAAGTCGCCAGCTTCAGGGAGCGAGAGTGGCAACTACAAGGATTTTTCTCGCCCGTACGAGCAAAGGTGACCCCATTTGCCGATTCCGCAGCTCCAAGCTGCAGCGAAAGCTGCCGGGCCACTAAGATGCAGATGGAGCTGCTGCGCCTCTGAGCTGCCGGGCCGCCAAGATGCAGATGGAGCTGCAGTTGAAGGAAATATGCCCTAGAGGCAATAATAAATTTGTTATTTTATATCATGATAAATGTTTATTATTCATGCTAGAATTGTATTAAACGAAAACTTGATACATGTGTGAATACATAGACAAAACACCATGTCCCTAGTAAGCCTCTACTAGACTAGCTCGTTAATCAAAGATGGTTAAGTTTCCTAACCATAGACATGTGTTGTCATTTGATGAACGGGATCACATCATTAGGAGAATGATGTGATGTACAAGACCCATCTGTTAGCTTAGCATGTTGATCGTTCAGTTTTATTGCTATTGCTTTGTTCATGTCAAATACATATTCCTTCAACTATGAGATTATGCAACTCCCGAATACCGAAGGAATACCTTATGTGCTATCAAACGTCACAACGTAACTGGGTGATTATAAAGATGCTCTACAGGTATCTCCGAAGGTGTTTGTTGGGTTGGCATAGATCGAGATTAGGATTTGTCACTCCAAGTATCAGAGTGGTATCTCTGGGCCCTCTCGGTAATACACATCATAAGCTTGCAAGCAAATGACTAAGGAGTTAGTCATGAGGTGATGTATTACAGTACGAGTAAAGAGACTTGTCGGTAACGAGATTGACTAGGTATGAAGATACCGACAATCGAATCTCGAGCAAGTAACACAAAGGGAATTACGTATGTTGTCATAACAGTTCGAACGATAAAGATCTTCATAGAATATGTAGGAGCCAATATAAGCATCCAGGTTCCGCTATTGGTTATTGACCGGAGAGGTGTCTCGGCCATGTCTACATAGTTCTGAACCTGTAGGGTCCGCAAGCTTAACGTTCGATGATGATTTAGTATTATATGAGTTATGTGATTTGGTGACCGAATTTTGTTCGGAGTCTCGGATGAGATCACGGACATGACGAGGAGTCTCTAAATGGTCAAGAGGTAAAGATTGATATATAGGACGATGGTATTCGGACACCGGAAGTGTTCTGGAGGGTACCGGGTACTTATCGGGTCACCGAAAAGGAGTTTCGGTCACCCCCGGCAAAGATATGGGCCTTATGGGCCAAGTGAGGGAACACACCAGCCGTGGTGCGCCCCTATAGAGGCCAGCCCTATGATGAGGAGAAGGAAAGAGGGGAGGGCAAGGAAAGTGTGGATTAGGATTCCTACTTCCTTCCCTCCCCCCTATTTCCTTCCACCTCGGTTATATATGGTAGGGGGGCACGCGGCTTGGGAGGGACTCCAAGTAGGATTCCTCCTACTTGGGGCGTCCCCCTTGGCTGCTCCCTCTCCCTCCCACCTATATATATGAGGAGGGAGGCGCCTAGAACATACACCAACAATTATTAGCCGTGTGCGGCGTCCCCCTCCACAGTTTACGCCTCCGGTCATATCTTCGTAGTGCTTAGGCGAAGCCCTGCGCGGATCACTTCAACATTACCTTCACCACGCCGTCGTGCTGACGGAACTCTCCCTCGACACTTTGCTGGATCAAGAGTTCGAGGGACGTCATTGAGCTGAACGTGTGCAAAACTCGGAGGTGCCGTACGTTCGGTGCTTGATCGGTCGGAACGAGAAGAAGTTCGACTACATCAACCGCGTTGTCAAACGCTTCCGCTTTCGGTCTATGAGGGTATGTAGACATACTCTCTCCCCTCTTGTTGCTATGCATCTCCTAGATAGATCTTGCGTAAGCGTAGGAATTTTTTTGAAATTGCATGCTATGTTTCCCAACAGCAGTGCCTTTGAGCTGCAATGGAGCCGCTCTGCCACCAAGCTGCAGCGTGAGCCACCCACGAAGATGGATCCCAAGGTGCCTTTGTCGGCCTCCTCCTGGTACTTTCTCACTTCACTTCAGTACGAGTAAGGGGGAGGGGAACGGGGTGAAGAATTGGTCGATGGAACCAAGGATGCCATACACGTGGTTGGTGTTCTGCGTCATGGTGGCAGTCCGTGAAGCAGCTATTGACCTGTGTTGTTGTCCCTCGGCACAAGTATCTTGAGGGCATGATTGTAAATTTCTTTATCTTTGAGGTTTGTGATGTTACTCAAATTGTAATCCTGGTTGAGCCTTTTGGTTCTGGTTTTAATGAAAGCAGGGAGGCCCCCTCCTTGGGAGCGCAGGGCTCGGAGTTTGCCAAAAAAAAGGACTAGCGGTCAACCACGGGGAAGAAGATTTGAACAGAATTGCAAATTTGCCAAGGGGCAGCAGAGTCATTTTGCATGGTATTATGCAAATCAATAATATTTTTCACTTCTTATCCATGTATTATCATAAACAACTTTGTTGCAGCACAAACAGTGAAAAAAAAACATAATGCCTTCGGATCAAAGTGAGATTGTAGGTTGTACTTTATTCAGAGACACAAATAAGTGAGCAAGTTCCATCTTAGTCAATAGTAGTTGATGCTTTAGTGTTGTACGTTTTTCTTTTCTTCGATCTATGTGATTTTGTGCTTACTCTATCTTCTTTTGATCCATGAATGCTTATATCATGCCATGTAATATATGGTCCATAAACATTATCTTAGAATATCTGAGGACTATCTAAAAAACTATTTGCCTCTCATCCTATTATGCTATAGAAATGAGGTTTGGAATCGTGCTTATTGTTTCATTCCAAAGTAATATATGGCTCAAAGTACATTACTCGGTCCTAATAGGCTTTTTGTCAATGGATGCAATGTACCTTGCTTCATAAAAGCAATGTAAATAAGCTATTGTAAAATGATCTTGTGGCTCTCTTGTAATGCTATGTATCGGCTGCATCTAAATATTGTAGTGTGCATGGTTTGAATGCTCGCTCTGCATAATACCATCACTTCCATGTCCCGGTCTTCCAATTGGTAGCTATAGAATGCATCTTTGCTACTGTAGCTTGCTTCATAAAACCAATGTATGCTATTGTTCGCAGATATACAATGCATCTTTGCTACTGTAGCTTGCTGTATAAAACCAATGTATGCTATTTGTCATGTGATCTCATTACTTCCTTTTAGTCTATCATGGTACCATGTAATGATATATAAGTATCTATTAAGTTGGTTCTAAATTAGTCACATATGCATGATTTGAATACTTGGCTCGCTCTTGCTTTTTACACCATGGGCGCAACGGGTCATCTTATGAAACCGTGGAAGTTTTTAGCGACCTGGAATAAAGCAAAAAAAAAACATATCGTTTGGTTTTGTGGATTCCCAATGTCTCAACTAGCTCTTGACAGTGGTATCCTTCAATAAGCCACGTTGCTTTCTTTTAATCAAGTTTGTGCGTTGTATGTTATTCAAGAGTTTCTCACGGTAAGGTTGATCAATCCACAATTGAACAGCTGAAGATGCAGCAACTGGATTAGTCCGGCCAGCGTCTAACACCACAAAACCCGGCTTCATAAACTTAGACCAAGTAATAACTGAAAAATCACTCAAGGGAAAAGGGAAAACAAATACATCATCCCTTGCAATGTGGCACGAGCATGGAGTCATGGACCATAGGATGGCTTTATCACATAAGTTCAGTTTTTATAGATCTCGGCAGGAAATGACTCAACTTCAGGACGGGCCTTTCAAATAAAGTTGGCAATAATCCATTCAGATCACCAGTACAAACTGCAGCGCTACTTGACCGGGAGCTTATGTTGTCTGTTCTGAACTGGATGACTGCTTTCTTCCTGTAGAAACACAACACATATTTCGACTAACTTCAACAATCTGAGAAAGTGAGTCAACCTGTTTCACGCTAGCATATCTGAATCAATTTGCTCAAGATTTGGAAATATTTCCTTCAATGTGGATGAATAGTTGGGAGTTTTTGCCTGCAAAAAAGTAAGGCACAAACAATAAGATTCACTTTTAACATGAGCTCTGAAGATTGATAATTTTAGGGTATAGTCATAAGATTGGTGCATAGTAGGCCAGTTGCACAATATACTCTACAGTACTGGATGTACATTAATTAACATCACTAGAAAAATCATTTCCAAAATCAACATTCCATTCTCAATAGTGTCATGAAGTATTAGTACACGAAGTTCCCACCATCGGTGACATCTTAGTTGTATTCTAGGTACTTTGATGAATACAATATTACTTGTGAAACTTCCAGATTGCACCACAGTTGATAAAGAACTGGCAAAATAAGTACTGTAGGATATATGATCCGTGAGAAATCAATGATGTCCATTCAGAACCAGCGGAAGTGCTTCAAACTTTTTGAAGATACTGATATGTTCAAAGAAAACCTGATGTCCATTTCGGTCATAATGGTAATGGTAAATCAAACGCGGCACAGGAAAACACCCAGAGACTGTGTTTAAGAGTAATAATAGAGCAATAATGTAGACCAGAAAATATACAGTACATCATAAATGGTTAAAGCACTTTGGATGTCACACTTAACATTCATCCAGAATTCCATACACAATCAATGTTGACTTCAACAATATGCACCAACTTTCGCAACATAAAACGTGAGATTGAGTTTACTACTATGATGGTGCCATTATGATGCTTAAGATGGTAACAATAACTCTTAAATCAGGTTTAACAGCAATGAATGAGACTGATAGTAACTAGACATAACTAAACAAAGGATATAAGTACGTACACAAGGATTTCTCTCAAGATATATGGTGGTCAGTTTCTCTCGTGAACCAGACAAAGCAGATTCTATCCCAGACAGTGATGGTATTTGGTTGTCATTCAACCACAAGTCCTCTAACCTGCAAAACACATAATGTCAAATTAGTAAAAGAGTCGGAACAAACAATCTATCAAGCTATTTATGTAGCTTAGGATATTTGGATCAATTTCCCCACTTATTTTTGTGCACCAAGGATGATAAACAATCAGTTATGTAGTATCATGCTACCTGGTTAATGGCTCAATATCTTCGATAGCAGTTAGTTTGTTAGATGAAACATCTAAAACACGAAGGTTCTGTAACATAGAAAGGCCTTCCATCTTTTGGATTCCATTATGGCTGAGATACAGTTCCTCTAACGCAACACATTCCTGAATTCAAAAGCAAAAGACAAATTAGCGAGTAGGAGTAGCAATTACTTCAGCAAAAAGTTAGGGAGCTGGTGAAGGTACGACACGGTACTTGTAAGCCATTCATTGAAGTTAGCCTGTTGCTTTGCAGACTTATTTTTTTGATTGATTTCAACCCACATAAGTTGATAGTCCGGATCCGGTTTCTTCCGAGCCATAACTCCTGTAGATTTGTCAAAGTTTCCAGATTTTCCATCACCTGAAATAGAGTAGAACATGTGAGAACATAGGGCCAGGATCCATCCAAGTTCTTTATTATAACATGCACCATCATGTGTAAAGAAGCACCTAAATGCTTACCCTTAATCTGTTGCTACCAAGTTCAAGCAATTCTAATGCATGGAAATGTTCAAGTTCTTCCATCTTTGGAACCTCATTCTTCGAAAAGTAGAGTTCTTTCACTGTGCTGGAAACCTTGGATAAACCATTTAAGGACGACAACTCATTGAAAGAAACATCAAACACCAGAAGACCCTTGAAGATGCTGGCATCGGGGATCTTTGTAAGCTTGTTATCTCTAAGGACTATCTCCTGAAATCGGAAATGATTTAAAATAGAACTGTAAAATCACTTCACCATTTCTGGTTACAGGATAAGGAAAAACATTGCATAGTAAATTACTTTGTCAGAAGGCATGGATAACTTACCATGAGAATCCCCCGCAAAAAAAATTACTTACCATGAGAAAATTTCAGGAATAACACAGCAAAGTTTAAGAGTAAAACTTAAATTGCACTTCCAAGCCCGTGTGCAAAGTACTCCCTCTGTAAACTAATATAAGAGCATTTAGATCACTAAAATAGTGATCTAAACACTCTTATATCAGTTTACGGAGGGAGTATTTAACAAAGAATGTAAGGTTGCCTTCATGTAAATATCATGAAATGGCATGCATCAAATTTGTTTACATGGGGCTTCATGTCATATAAGCTTGTAAAGTGATAAATAAGTGATGTGCATAACCATTTCTGCAGAAACACTCTCAGTTTTGCTCACGAATGTTGTTTATTTAGATAAAAATAATAATCAGTTAACATCTTACTTCACATTCAATTTTCCTGCATACACATGTTAGCAAGGTACCGCCTAAAAATTTGCTCATTGCAGATCATTGCTTTTTTTTTTGCGGATAATTGCAGATCATTGCTTGGCAGGCGGACAAAATCTTGTGATGGTGGAAGAAAAAAATGTTGCTGTGCTAGGAAAGAAAGTGCAACAATAGGACACATGCATATAACAAAAGAGGTAAGTAAGATGGGACCAGCCGAAGAAAGTCTCTCGATCACATATTTTCAAGCGGTTCTCAACACATAAAAATAATCACCTGTAAGCCAGCGATGGCATCCCAGGTGAAGAGGGGCGCGACGGCGTCGTCGTCGAGGAGATTCTGGCGGAACGAGAGTTTGCGGAGGCGAGGGAGGTGGCTGATCCGGGGGTCGACTGCGGTGAGACGGTTCGCCGTAAGGTCCAGCTCCTCCAGGGTGGGCGGGATCTCCACCTCACTCAGATCATGCAGCTGGCAGCTCGTGAGATCGAGGCACAACTCCACCTCCGGCACCTCCATCCCTGCCCCCGCAGCCTTCGAATCTCCGGTGCCTTCGCCGGAGGCCATGGGGGATCGGGCCTGGACTTTCAGGGAGCTTCTGGAAGAAGCAAAGGGGAGAAGAAGAAGAATATGCCGAATGGGGGCCTAAAGGCCTAGCCTAATCCGATTGGTTGGAAATAGCCCATTAAAGCCCATGTACAGCGACTCGGTCTCAAATCGCAAGGTCCAAAACCCTAAAACCTTCGCCCTTCCACCTCCCCTCTCTCCTTCCGTTCCTCCTCCCGGCAATGGCGTCGCGCCTCCGCTCCTTCTCCCGTCCCGTCGCAGCCGCCTTCCTCCGCTCAGCTTCCGCCCGGAGCCCCGCGGCCTCTCTCCCCCGCGCTCTCTCTCCAACCCCCAGGTAAGTGATCGACCCCCTTGCACGCTTCCTCTCTCAAATGCTTTCCAAGTTAGCCTTGAACCGTGGGGTTTGCGTGGTACAGGGCTTCTTCCCTGGGGCGGCAGGTGGCGCTGGCACGATCTCTGCAGCCGCTGCACAGCGCAATCTCGGCGGCGAGGCTAACGTCACGGCTTGGGGCAGAGGTGGCCCGGGCAGTGTCGCAGGGTACGCTCTGCAGCTCCAACCCGGGAGTCTGAGTCTGATAGGATCTTAATCTTTGCATCCTACCTGTGAGTTTTGACTGCTCAGTTACCTGCCTATTTTAGTTCATGCGTAACCGACACACACAATTTTGGTTGATTCGGTTTGTTGAATCCTGAAATTCAGATTCGTTTTGTGCTATTCATGAACTGATTAAACTGTGTTTTTTCTCTGTCAATCTATGTGAGGCAGGGAGGGGGACTGTGTTTAGTTTTATGCCATTGTGAACATGTTATACTTAACGTAAAATAAACAAAATGCTCACGATGAGGCCCCCCACCTGAATACATTACTCAAAGTGTTACACGGCCAAGGCCGGTTACAAGGTTTACCAGAAGTTACATAGGAATGCAAGAACAAGAGGAGAGGAAGGCACGCCACAAGAAAGCGGATTTGTTATCAGCATGTTTACAAAGTCTATGAGACCAAAGGTCCAAATCTGAAATCATAAGCCGAAGCGACGTAGCCGAGTGGATATCAAGGTGATGAAATGCTTTTCCATTCCTCGAGTCCCAAATCTTCCATAGGATGAGCATTAAGCATTGTTCACTAGGCTGGCTTTCCAACCAGCGAGGTCTTTGCAACAGCTTTGCAAAATAGGCAGAAAAGCACCAGAGGGTAGTCGAGTGGGTGAGAGTTGTAGTCTGATGTAGATGTGGGGGAAGGAGGAGATTGGGCAAAGCAGCGATTCCACAATAGTTGTTGACGTAAATTCATCGGCACAAAGGTGGTTTTAGATAAGTTAATGGAAAGACCATTGGCTCGGACGAAATCTTGCAAGATGTTTTTGAGAGCGGTTGCAGCGGCAGCAGTTGCCTTGGCGATGGTGAGGGTATCATCAACGTATTGCATGGTGGTTGGTGGTAGGTGTGTAAAGATCGGATGGTGAAGTAGGTGGGAATTATGGTGGATGAGTTACTGTAGTAAGTCTGCCACTATGATAAAGAGACAAGGTGTCCTAGGCGCAAACCATTTTTGTAGTTGATCCAGTCACCCGGAACACCATTGAGCATTATTGCGGTTTTACAAGCGGATAGGATATGGATCCAAGAGTAACATTGTTTCGACATTCCTCTTTGAAGGAGAATTTTGTTAGGAAGGACCACAATACTGATGTAGGGGATTAGTGGTTTGAGCATAGTTGTTAGAACCTTAGTGGCCGCTTTGATCCGACAGTGCTAAAGAGAAATGGGCCTATATGAGTCGGGCATAGCAGCGGAGTCTTTTTTGGCCAGAACAACATGTGCTTGGTTCAAGCGTTTCGTCTGGCCTGCAAGTGAAAGAAGTTTGAGAGGAAGGGTAGGATGATTGGTTTTAGGAGAGACAAGATTTTCTGATAGTAGGCTGGTCCGAAACCATTGGGACGTGGGCTTATTTGACGGTTCAATTGGAGAAAGGCCTCTTTAATTTCCGCTTTGGATAAAGGTGTAGCCATGGAATAAAGTTGTGTGACATTGTATTTTGAGAGGCTGGAGAGATAAAAGGTCTAGGTTATGTCTAGCAAGCCCGATGATTTGGGTGAAATAGGAGTTGCTTTTTGATCGTGTGAGGTATAGACATTGTTTTTCGAAGTCCTTTAGAGGCGGAGACATGAAAGAATTTGTTATTCTCACCGGCATCTATAGTGCCTCTTATTTTCAGGTGTAAGCGCCAGTAGGCTGCTATTTCTTTAATTGTTTGTTGTAAAACAGCGATAATAACAATCCTAAGTTATGATTCGGCTGCGGAGAACGGCCGACGTTCATCTTTCAAATTGATAAACTGATGTTCATTTTTTTGCAAAAACCTACACGGACAAAGGCCGGAGCCTGCTTAGGGTCCTAATTTTGAGACCTGAGCAAGAGCTTTTTAAGGCTCGCACTAGATGTGTTGATGCGAACTGGGCCGGCCGACTCTATGCAGGAGAGGCTCAACATTGCCGAATGATCCGGTGACAGAATGAAGGGCCCAACCGGGTTCAAATAGGATATGGCGGGAACAAGGACTGTTTGTGTTAATGTGGACGAGAAGGGGCACATTATCTGAAATAATTGTGTTGAGAATAGAGTAATATTCGGCAATTTGTCATTCTAGGCAAGATTAAAGAAGACCCGATCCAGGCACTCAAGGGTGGACATTGATTTAGCATTTGTTCGGGCCAAGCGACGGTCAAGCAGTGGTAATTCTAGCAATGATAATTGGTCAATGGTGTCCTTGAAAGAGTTGGCCTCTGATTGCTGGAATGATTGCTTGTTCTTTTCGGAGGAAAAATGTAGGGAGATCGAAGTCACCGATAATGAGCCAGGGGATGTGATCCTCTTGTTTGATGGTTAGTAGTTTATTGACCAAGTCTAGCTTTAAGGAGCGATTGGAAGGAGCATAGACATTGGTGATTGCAATTAGGAGCAGGGTGAGCCGTGGTGGAGAGGTTGATGGTTGTGGAGAAGGTGTAGTTTTGTTGATTGGTAATGTTAAAGAATCTGGAGTTAGCCGTCGAGATGGCCCCGCCTGCAGTGCCAATTGTTGTCAAGAGAACGCGGTATTCTATAGTCCGTGGGATGAAGAACTGGAATTTGAACTCATCGACCGAAGCTAATTTTGTTTCTTGAACCAAAGCGAGATGTGGATTTAAGTTGATGAGTTCAGAGAGGACGTTGATGCATTTTTGCGGGTTGCCCAGCCGTCTGACATTCCAGGAGCAGATTGACAGGGTGGTTTGATTCGATACTAAACTTCTACGGCACTGATAGAACATGGCTAAAAGTAAACCGGTATGTATAGTGCTTAGCTTAGATTCGAGAACATAGCATCGGTTCAATACAAGGGCAGCACAAACGCTGAGATTTTGCAAACACACTTTTCACGGTGACGAGATTGCCTAATAGTAGTAGTAGGACGCCTGAGATAAACTAAAACATAGCTAAGCAAAAGATAGGCCGACATCACTTAAGCGTGTGGCAGCAGCACAATGTGGTTGTCACCGAACTATATGCACAGTAATGTTGAATGTAACCTTAAGCAAGTAACAAAAGGTCAGCCCATGTTCTTTTGTTTAGATCATTTTAGAAGGAAAGGTTCTTGTGTTTATATTGGTCTTGCACACGTTTCTATATAAAGTTTAGATAGATTTGTTAGTATTTTGCAGTAACGGAATAAGCACCTAATGCATCTTTCCTATACAAATAATGGAGCTCCAGAATTATCCATGGAAGCAGCATGAATGGAAAAGTTGACTAAATTCTTCTTGTTAAATGCTTATAGTGCTATAATTTGTAACAAGAGACAGGAGATATCTACTACAAAATGGCGGTTCAGTAATTCACATTCATTCACCATTATTACTGGTCTTCTCCGAGTTTAGATTTATATTAAAATTCATGCAATGGATAAGCTACCTTTATCTTGTAAATGGAAGTGTATTAGGCTGCAACACCTTTTATTTAGATCAGTGGTACATATAGTAACCAATTTAGTGTAACGCACCCTTCCTAAAATTACTAACCACAAATGAGTACTTAGTATATTGTTAGTTTGAAATGCTAGGAACCATAAAACATAGGCATTTCTGTTGTTAAAATTTATAAAGCATTTTTGTAATACTTAAATTTAAAATGAATGCTGACACTATAGATACCTGTTTTATCTCATTCCAGACAAACCCCATCTTGGCGATGATTTTCATGTGTGTTTCGCTTGGATTAGCATATTCTGTTGAAACTTTGTAGCCACAAAAGACTTTAGCGTATAAATGCTATGTACCCATGCTTAAGATGTGAAGAGTGTGGTCCAAGGTGGTGAAGATACATGTCTAGGCTCTAGGGTAAGAAAGACACTTGAAAGGAAGCATCAGAAAATGCATGCCTTTAGCAGCTAAGATAGCAAAGTTGAGAAGAAACAAAAGGAAAAAAGGCCTATATATACCTAAAGAGTTCTCAATAAGGCAACAAGACTCTAGGGTGCTTGACGTGGTTGTAATTATTTGGTGTGTTCTCGGTAACTGATTAGTTGACAGTGGAAAGTTTGTATTTGCTTCCAGTGACTGATTTTATAGTAAAATCTAACTTGTCGGGGTCCCTGGTGTGCTGTCCATGTTCAGATTGTTTATGTGACTTAAGCTCTATCTTTTATTGCTTGAGAAGTTGAGATTATTAATTTTATATTCTGATATTTACCTGTTTTTGCTAGTTTCGTTAATACATCATTCTAATGTTTCCATAAAGTAGGTAATGGTAACCTTCAATTGAGTAGGACATCATTATCTTAGTTCGGATGCTGTTTGGAACAGAAGTTAGACTGCTGTAATCTTTGTCTGACCAATGGCTTTGGCGTGATACTTTATTGTAAATTTGGAAATTCAAATTGTTTGCCACATAAATCCCACTTGTATCTCAATGATGTTTTGCACCAATCTGCATATTTCATATAGGTGCAAAATGCTCTGTTTGGATGAACTCTGTTGGCCAACCGAGTTTCAGAATACATCGGTCAATGAAGAAAAAAATTGTACTCCTATAGCATAACTATCAGTCTGTTGTTTAAAATGAATTCGGTATTTCCACATCATGGAGCATTTATATTTTCTTTTACCTTATCATGATTGTTTTATTACCCAAGAAACTCCAGACTTCCAAACTCAATACTGTGATTTTGTTGTTGTTCAGACGTGAGACATACGTTTGGTAACTTGATTTTACATTAGGGGATTATCAAATTTCTTGCTGTCATTTTTACGTCTTTCGTGTTTTGGTTGTGGCACCTCTCCCGGTGTGCTCAGGGATTTATATAAATGCTGTTGCAGCACGACAACTGAAATGTATGATCTTCCTGCTGCCTTGCAGAAACTGGTCTGAGTGTGCCTCGATAATGAAAGAGGTTGGGACAGACGCAGCGGACTTTTCAAGAAATTTATTCCCTTCAATAATGGGTTTTGCTTGTTGGCATTCTTCCGCACATTAATATGTGATGTACTGCTCAGAAGCAATTACTATGTGCACTTCATATCAGCTCGAGCCTTAAC